AACGAAATCTGAATGCTCCCAAACAATGGCGTTACGTGTTGGCTGCGAAATCTGAACAAAATCTGAACGAAATCTGGTGAAGAATGGAGAGGCGTTACGTGTTGGCTGCGAAGCAGGGAGAGCGGGAAGGAAATCTGGTGAAGAAGGAGAGGCGCTACGTAACTTAAATTCAAAAATTCAACTTCATTTACGTCGGAAAACAAAGGGACCGACGTAAATTCAACAATCTACGTCGGTTGTAGCTGAGGTCCGACGTAGATTGTTTAATTTACGTCGGTCCCTTTGTTGTCCGACGTAAAAAAATTTGCGTTATTTTCAAAAATGCCACCGCGTCGTTTTTACGTCGGATATGTTGTAGTCTGACGTAAAAATATAGACGTAAAAAGCCTCTTTTGCATTAGTGGTCATTCATAAACCTTTTTATCTTATTTTCCAAAGTTGTAAGTATTGATCAATTTAATTCTAATTAATTTCATAAAAAGTCATTCATTTTAGTTATTTTCCATTTTTTATTTTTTATTTTTTATTTTGTGTACTATCCGTACTGCGAAGCCGAGCTCCGAGCTCGGCACCACAGCGCAGGACGACTTCGGACACGCGCTGTGTGACGTCAGCTCGTCATCATAATCAGATCATAACTGATCTCGGGCCCAAGGCCCAACACAACCCTAATTCACACCAAGGTACGTGCATTATTTATACGAGACTCACACTCATACAAACCCTAACTTTAGCATCGGAGTCTCTTTTGCAGGTATCACCCCCATCTTGGAGCATCAACGTACCAGTGAAGGAGACTCACCAATCTTACCTGGCGGATCAGCTCTACAGCAGATTTCCGGTAAGAACATTTGGCGCCTACCGTGGGACCGATCAAGACAGCTCTTATCGGCCACGCTTATGGTATTCACTAGAAGCCATAGCAAACGCGCAACAGACGACGCAAACCACTCAACTACCATGGACAACGAAGCCACATTGAGGAGACTGATCGACCAGGTCGAACAGATGCGGCAGCAACACGACGCCGATCTGCGAAACATGCGTGCCCAGCACAAAACTGACATAGTTGCGATGCGGACCGCCAATGAAGCAGATCTAGCGGCGCTACGCGCTGAAAATGAGCGGATTCGCGCCCAGCTCCCTCGGGGCCCCTCTGATCATCCTCCTAAGGCGAGCAACCTCCACGAGGAAGAAGGGCACTCGGTCTCTCAGCCCCGAACTGCGATTAGGGCACCGACTCCACGACCTGCCACGCATCGGTCTCATGTTCTGACGAACAAATCGGTCCATGAAGTCAGCAAAGCCCCGACTTATGTCACAGGAGGTCAAGCAACCTTCCGCCGTCATCCCTTTGTGGACGGCATCATGGAGACACCACTCCCTCAAGAGTGGAAGCCTCTCCACCTCGATCGGTATGATGGCACGACGGACCCCGATGAGCACGTTGACCTGTATGCGACCCAGGTAAACCTCTACACTAACAATGATGCTATCTTGTGTAGGGTTTTTCGGACCTCGCTCAAAGGGGCCGCACTCAACTGGTATACCCAGCTACCTGCCGAGTCAATTGACAGCTTCGGCACTCTAGTCAGACGATTCACGGCGCAGTATATGCAACGAGTCGACCTCACCTCGTAACGTCGGCTGCTTTGGCCAGCCTCAGACAGGGTGACGACGAACCACTACGTGCGTTCATGGAACGTTTTGTTGGCATCTCTGTGAAGATTCGCAACTTGAATCCCGAGGTCGCCTTACACGCCATGCTCATGGTACTCAAGCCGGGGACCGTTCGTCAACAGCTTGTGCCGAGAAGCCCCTCGCGACATGGATGAGCTTCGTGCTATTAAAACAGAGATGGACATTAAATAACAACATAATCAGTTTCTACCACCATTGATTTTTATTGTTGTATTGAATTTTAATAAATTTATTTAGATATATTTATAATGTTAATATTCAATAAATTTAATTATTTGATGTTAGTTGCTGAGTTTTGGCATTTGATAAATGAAAATCGAAAAAAAATATATTTTATTTGTAGGTCAGAACGGCCCGTTTTGAAAGCAGAACGGACTGTTCTGGTTTCACTTTTTATGTGCTAATTTTGATTTTGGAACGGCCCGTTCTGATTTGTTTTCGATGTGTTATTTTTTAATCCGGAATGGTCTGTTCTAATTTTAGAACGGTCTGTTCCGAAACGTGAACAGTAAATGGTGCTAGTTAAAAAAATAAATTTGCATAGTTGTTATTTGGGTAATTTTTTTTAAAATAGTATTATTTGAGTAAAAAACTCCTTGTTAACATACGGATATAAAAAATACTCATATCCATTATTTGTGAGATATTTATTTATAATATCTATTTTTTATCAGTATGAGATTTTATCCGTAAATATTTATGGGTACAAATTTTTTTGACATTCCTAGATCTAAGTTTTAATCAATGGTTAATGAAAGGTTACATGTATTTCATATGTTAAATACATATTATATATAACTAAAATGTGTAACAAATTATGAGTTAATCATCCCTACACTGTCAGTGTAAAAATTATATCTTTTAACAGTGACATGTCAGTTACTTATTTAATGAAATAATAATAAAATAAGCAACTTTAAAAGATATGATTGATTGCCACCGTAAAAGAACTTTACACTAGTAATATAAGGATGATTAACTCATAAATTATATATATATCAGAACGGGCTGTTCCAAATTCAAAATTAGCACACAAAAAGTGGAACCAGAACGAGTTGTTCTAGCCTACAGATTTAGACCACTTTTTTTTTCGATTTTCACTTATCAAATACCAAAACTCAGAGACTACCATCAAGTGATTAAATTTATTGAATATTAACATTATAAATATAACTAAATAAATTTATTAAAATTCATTACAAAAATAAAAATCAATGGTGGCAGAAACTGAATTCATGATCAATATTTGGATATGTCTTCCTAGTGTGACCAGAAGTGTGACAATAGGAACAATTTTTTACACAATTATGTTATTCTCTAATGTCCATCTCTGTTCTAATCCTGCTGGACTTTGGCCGACCCTTGAAAGTTCTCTTGAGTTCTGGATTTGCCACAAAGTTGGAAGAAACGTAACATCCGAGAGAAGTTTGACCTGCTAGAAGATTTACAGTAAGGCTAAATGAAATATGGTATGATTGCGACAAGTTCCAGAAAGTTCATATCCCTTGCTCGCATGACCCGCTGGGAGATTTACAGTAAAGCTAAATGAAATGTAATATGATTGCGGCAGTTCCAAAAAGTTTATATACCTTGCTCACCCGCTAGGAGATTTACAGTAAGGCTAAATGTAATGTGGTGTGATTGCAGCAAGTTCCAGAAAGTTCATATCCCTTGCTTGCATGACCTGCTAGGAGATTTACATTAAGGCTAAATGTAATGTGGTGTGATTGCGGCAAGTTCTAGAAAGTTTATATCCATTGCTCGCATGGTCACACCCTTGGTCACACTAGGAAGACATATCCAAATATTGGTTATGAATTCAGTTTCCGCCACCATTGATTTTTATTGTTGTATTGAATTTTAATAAATTTATTTAGATATATTTATAATGTTAATATTCAATAAATTTAATTATTTGATGTTAGTTGCTGAGTTTTGGCATTTGATAAATGAAAATCGAAAAAAAAATATAATACCTGCACCACCACCTTTAGAATTGGAGGACCCATCAATGTGTAAAGTCCATACCTGTGGTTCCACAGTCGAGGTTAGGGATGGCGAAAATACCCGCCCCCATCTTGAAACATTAACGTACCAGTGAATGAGACTCACCGATCTTACCTGGCGGATCAGCTCTACAGCAGATTTCCGGTAAAAACATTTTGTTTTACATCAAAAATAACTAAAACAAATACTCTTTTATAAAGTTAAGGATAAAATGAAGAGAGAGAAAAAAAAAAATAAATATATATATATATATATATATAATTAAAAACTAAAATGTTCTATGCTTTTAATAATAACATGGGGTAAAATGAGAATTTAGTGATATAAAATATCTAAATATTATTTTAATGAAAAGTGATATTAGAGCTTATTTATATTAGAGGATTATCACTGCTTCTTTTAGAATCACTTTTGACTAGAATCAGATGCAAAGTGAAATAATGTTTTTTTTTTTTTCCAAAAGTGATTTCCATCCAGGCAAGTTATTTTAAACACTTCCATGGCATCCACATTTCTTGCCAAACAAACATAGCAAATCCAAGTATCTTGACTTTTGTTGAGCTAATTAGGATGCTTTCCAATTAAATACAAAATAAGTGACTATGATAATTATAAATTAATACAAACAGAATACATTATATTTTGTCAAAAAAGAATACAAATCGTATGATGAATTCATCAATGAAACCAAAGCTTAGTGCCTATAGATTTTATTATTAGTTTACTCCACAACCCAAGCATGAATCAAAACTTTATTTGGGCTTTATTTCAGTTCCACTTGATCCATATTAATATAAGGTTAGAATAACTTTCTGACTACGGTTTTACACGAACAGCCACATCAAGAAAATACACTTTTTTTTTTTTATGTATAATTCATTATTCTGTGTTCGTTTTCAATTTTGAATATATAATCTTTCTTGATAGTTTATTATATTCATTTAAATCATTATAGGTTACAGTATGGTAGTAAAGATAAAAATACACTTTTTTTATATTTTAATTTTACATATCAAATATTAAGAAATTATTTTATTTTATTTTATTTTATTTTATCCGCTCATGACAATCTACCTGAGTAATGAACACTGAACATGCTATGGCTTCGATCTTGTGTATTGATAACACAAATTTGAAAAGAGTGGCTTTTCTAGCATCCTAAGGTGAATTGATGATTTGTCCTTTTGTTCTATTAGAACACTATACATGCCGACCTATCCTTTTCAAGTTTCTGGGAGTGACCCTTTATTGGCTTTTGCTAATATCCTATAAAACTGAACTGATTCATCATCACTTCATCAGCTTCCTATTCCACCGTTTCACCTTTAATTTATCTGATCCACACACTTCAAAGATATCCCGTCAACACACACCCCCAAAATTAATATGAATTGCATGGAAAAAGAAATATGAAATATCTTGAATTATCTAGAATATGAAAATCTAATCTCTAAAATATACTATGAATATGGGGTTGATGATCCAAGTGGTTAAAGATTTAGAGTTAATAATTCTCGCTTTTCTTTTATAATTAGGAGTTAGATTTTTTTTCTACTGAAATCTTGTTTGATAAACAACTCTTTTGAGAGATCTAGCGGCATAAAAAGATTTTGTTAGAAATAATTAGAAAATAGTGTTGGGAGATGAAGGGTTGTGAGTTACTATATTAAACCTCTATTTGGTACTATTTACTGAAATTAAAAAAAAAAATCACTTATGTACTATTTGTGTAAATTTTTTTTACACTAATAATTAATCATATCTTTTAATAGTATCATGTCAGTTATCTATTTAATGAAATAAAAATAAAATAATTTAATTTAAATAATATGATTAGTTGTTATTGTAAAAAATGGATGATTAACTAAAAGAAACTGAGGAATTAGAATAAATGGTTAAATATCAAGAAAAAAAAAACTTGTAAGACATATGAAAGAATTTCAGTTGAAAGAGAGTCAAAATGTCACGAAAATGAAGAGAGAGAGGGAATATTTTATTTCTTTCAAAATATATATAATCCTAAAGTTCTAAGATCAACTCTAGCATGGAGAGCTTATTCAAATTTTTTAAACAATACAATGGTGTTTTTCAATTTTCAGCGATGAAGTTGTCTGCCACAAGTAAGCAATGTTGCTTAAATAAGCAATTGTAATGAATAAAAAACAAGTTACAAAGACAACGAAAGTTGATGTACCCAGGGAATTATATATGAGAGGAAAGAGAAACATCACAAAGAAAGAAAGATTAAGAACATGTGACTTGCAGGAAATATAAAATTAAGTTAGGAAATCAAATAAAAAAAACAGTATGGAAGCAAAATTGTGTAAATGTTACTAAAATTTACATGGCATAATGGGTCCAAAAAAGAAGCTAAAAAAACTCATTTTAAGCTACTAAACATTATAGATGCTCTAAAATTCATCTCACCTTTCACTTATTTTCATACATTTTATTTTTATTTTTTTTAATTTTCATTCAACTAATTTATTTATCAAAATCATTAAGATCAATCTAACAGTAAAATATAAGATGTGTATAAAATTTCAAGTTTAAATCATGTTATTGTAATTGTAATTTTTACTAATAAAATATTTCTCTCTTATAAAATACAAACTAAAAGATAATAATCTTGTTTAAGGGTTGTTATTTGTTCTTATGTAATCATTTGAAAGATTTTTGACATTCAATGCTATTGAAAAGTTATGTGATGATTATACGTTGCTCTACTATAAATAGAGTACTAATTCATATAGTTTATGTGACAAAATAATACACTATCTTCTACTCTTAATAATCTCTTTTCTATTTTAATAATAAAATTGCTTGTAATTTAGATCTAAAAAATTAGTTTTAGATAAATTTTTACCACAATTCTAACATGTCATTAGCCCAATATTTTTCCTCTCTTTCCACCTTCTAAAACATCAAATATTATATCCCCTTAAAGTAGGATAATTTATAAACTAAAATATGATTGCATTAGAAATGTGTGACTCTTTCAATGCAATTTATTTACAACTAATTTATTGTTTTAATAAGAAAGTATAATTATTTTTCATCGGTCTCGCAACTTCATATTTAAATTAAAAATCAAATTATAATTTTTAAATAAAAAATATAAGTGTTGAACACCAGAACTAACGATCGAATAAATTTATTAAAATATGCTATAAAAAATGAAAGAAAAATAAAATAAATTATTTTTTTCTCATTTCCTATCAAAAGTTAAGGTAATAATAAAATTGTTTATAATTTAACAAAAAAAAAATATTCATTTTACCTTCTTAAAAGTGCGTTCATGAGAAGTTGCATGTAATTGAGAACTCAGCAACAAATTCTGCTTATTATATTCAATGAAATAACCGATAGCATCAAAGAGGAGGAGAAAATTGAAATAGTAAACATATACAATGATCTATTTCCATTCACTTATGTACATCTCAATCAGATACAAAAATTTGGAATTCTCTGTCACCCTTCTCCATCTCTTAGAAAAGAATTACCAAAAAAGGATACAATATTATATTCTAGCAAGTGTGCACAAGATGCACATACATAGTCGCTCTTGCTTTCAACATTTTCAATGATGTGTTCAGTGTTCATGTATACTATTTATACTGTACGTTTGTACTATACAAGGAATGAAGGAAATTAAGAACGTACAATAAACAATAGGTTTGAATTAGTACCCCAATTCATGTGGATCAAAATTAAGGCTAGGAGGGGTGTAACTTGCAACAACCCAACACTGCCATTTTTGCATTGGATATTTATAACCATGTTGTATCCAAATGAGAAAATGCAAAATCATGTATACTTTTCAAGAATCTTCAGTGAATATTTTAAATATGAAATCACGAAAACGCCTTGAGTATTGTATAGGATCCACAGCTGATATTGAGGTCGGGTCATATTGAATGGATTTGTAGGCATGCTCAAGCTTCTTGCTAATGTCATAGTCTTGAAGTATGTCAATGATACCAAAAGTCAACACAACATTGTAGAACTCTCCAATTGGTTCTCCTACAAGTTGTAATTCGCAACCACTTTTTCTCACTGTCCTTTCAATCCTTGCTGGCATATTCATACCCAATTTGACACTGCAGATACCCAAATAACCATATTAAGCTTTGAGCTTTTCATCACTGAATGATGGGTTATGTATGCTTTCACATAGACATGGAAAGCACCATTAGATAAAACCTAACTACATTACTTGAAAACTTTATAAACCACATTTCTTACTAACTACAAATTAAATCAAAATATAATACATCAACTGAAAAGAAATAATGTGCAATATTGGGGGAGAGTGGGGGAGGGGGAGGACGTGCTTAATATGAAAGGATAATGCTAAGTAAAGAAAACAAATTGAAGCACGCAGACAAAATTCTAAGCTACCCTGCCACTAGTCTAGTTAATTGTATTAGAATTGCAACAGAGACTAGAAAAATGGGACTGAGCCAAAGAGAGTAACATGTATTTATGGGACAAGTGAAGCTTCTCCTCTAACATTAACACAACAAGAAACTAATGACAGATCTAACTGTATAGCTAACTACACGGCTAATTTGCTAACTGTATGATACGATCCAATATACATACTATCGAGTTACTAAAGGTAATGTTCCTTCATTGAATGTTGATCTGTGCAGTCTAGTTTATTATGGTATTTGTACTTATTTTTAAAGTTAAGCAGCATAAAGTTGTGCAAATCTAATTGTATACTATGTATGCTAAAACAACTTTTAACAGACATCTCACCTTGAAGGTTTAGGAGGAAGTTGATCGGTGTCTTCGCTTGAAGTTTGGGGAGTTTCTTCATTTTCTGAATCAACTGGAATTGGAAAACAAAAAGGTTCTTATTGGGTTGTCACTTGTCAAAGCACAACACAGACACACATATTTAAGCATTGAATTTATAGAATAGATCATATTATAGGGAAAG